TATATATATATATATTAATTCGGTTCAGCTTTTAGAACGAGCTAAAGAGACTCTTAATCCTTAAAGATAAAGAGCTATACTATATAATTATTATTATAATATACTATAAGAAGAGAATTATGTATATATTAATAAACGATCTTAAGAATACTAATATATAACGCGAGTTATTCCGGAAAGTAATACTACTTATACTAGAGAGTTAGCTTAACTTCCCTAACTATATTATTAATGTACTAAAAGTGATGAATACTATACTAGATAGCGAGATTAAGTACCGCTAATAGAACTATAAGGTCACGTTCGAATCGCTCTAGGAGACTATCTAGCATAAGGACGCCCTTATATATATAGAGCCTTAGGGGTGAATACTGCCTACGAGACACACCTATAAAGTCTTATCTTTTAAGTAAAGTTTAGTTAAGTAGACTAGCTTAGTTTACACTAAAGATCTAGGCTTAGTTAAAAACTTAACATAAGCACATTAATACCTTAAGAATATATAAGCGCTACATAAATACCATAAATATTTAGTCCGACTTAAGCATAAGGTTAAGGTTATAATCATTAAGTAAATACTCACGCTAATGGCAGCTAAGGCTAATATCTCTATTGTTTTATCTTACTTTTACCGTTTAGGTTAGCTAATAGAGAGTAAATTAGAGAATATATACAGTAAAACATAATAAAAGAGCTAATAAGAGAAGGGTAAGTACGTAATATTTAATAAGTAAGACATCCCAGATTCTTAGGAGCCGACTTCCTCCTTGGGTGCGCACCTCTTGCCCTTTCGCTCACCCCAATCACACCTCTAACACTCTCGCTTCACACCCACCAGTCCCCTTGACTCACCCGCAGCTCACCTCGACTCACCCGCAACCACGGCGATGATAGGTTCGGGACGGAGGACTCGACAATGCGTGGTTCGAACCGGGTCGCAGCGACGCTGCCCGGCGAGGACCACCCTGCATTTTCGGCGGGGGGTGTTCAGGGTAGCGTCGAGCGACTTGTTCCCCCCAGCGATTAATGCCGCACGCACGTATAAAGGGGGGATCTGCCCGCGCTGCAACTGAAACGGTCGGTTGGTCTCCCAACTTACAGAACCTCGCCTTTTCGTGGGTTATCAGGGACCGGCTGAATGCGGTACGGTCCTACCCTCGTTGACATGTGAGAGCCGATGGCCTCCTACATTTTATCCCCTGCTTACTTGATTGATTTAGTGGCCCCTCTAAAGTGCTCAAGGTTCACCATGGAGGATCGACTCGCTGCTCGAAGACAGGCGGAACAGGACAGGCTTCGCGAAAAGCGGAATTTCCGCCACTGGGAAAGCCAGGCTACGGATGAAGTAGTTCTGAAGCCCATCAAGCCGAAAACCGAGAACGGTTATAACAGGATGCTCGACGCATGGGATAAGTGAGCCACTTCCAGTCGGTCTGGGAGACGACCGTATTGACACGGTGTTAGGTTTAGCGCTCGGCGCCGTGGCGCCTCCCCCTTCCACTTAAAGACGCTCAAACAGTTCTTGAAATGGTACTGCGACGGACGGAAGGGTCGTATCCCCGCGGCGGACGACGACGACGAAGACGACGGCGTAGACGACGGCGAAGGGGAGGAAGACGCCGACAGAGAGCTTCGAATGACGCAGGACTCCGTCTACACATGTTGGAAGAGCTTCCTATCAGGGTGGCAACGCCGAGAGACAACGTCCTTTCCGAAGCATATTCAGACCACGATCAAGACTGTAAGCTCCTCTATCGATAGTCTCCCAAACATAAGGTCAACGCTCAATGCCTTATACTCTCTAGCTTGTCTACGGCGGTGACAACAACTACCTAAACCTAAGAACAATACAGCGTCCGGCTCGAAATTTCACCGTCATAGACCACAAAGTTTGCGTTGGTCAACTTTGGGGAAACGACTGGCACGACTTCTACTGTGAATCATACCGCGTCCGTCTTCACCTGATGCAGCTCCTACACGCGAATACATCTGCTCGAACCGCGGAATACGTAATGAACCTAAGATATCGTGTATTATGCTACCCTCACCATAGCTTTATAGACATCGACCTTAGCTGACAGCTTTAGGATACCGCCATCTACCAAGTATGGTTTGAAGATAAACCGCAACCACAGATTGTGATCGATCTCTGTCGCAAACATACTAAGGGACTTGCCAACCTCCCGCGCAAACAGTAGGCTCTCCCCTTCTATCCAGGAGACACGAGACTAACCGCGGGCTAAAGACCAGAGCATCTCTTGTACGAACTTGTTGACCAACCGTTTTACTATAATACGGTGTTATTCTTCGTGAGTCCTATCCTCGCGCTTGGCGGCCTACGTGACTTCAAAACCTGGCAAGACATCCGTGCTATACAAAAGCCAGGTGGCCGTGAATGGGTTCCGCTGCACTACCATAAGGATTTACTGAAGAGGCCGGTCTTCCCGAGATATGCGTCCCCGTGGGAACCGGCGACGTCGATGATAAACGCTCTAGGTGACCTGGGAGAACGAGCAGGCTTCCGCGATAGACCGACGCCGGGTGCGATCCGTCGTGAAGGTCTACTCAAAGTTGATAGTGAGTGACCTAATGTATAAGGGAGATTGCCCGCATGGGAATGTGTACTGACTGGCGCTCTGAAAAAGTGCACGGTTATTCCATCAACGAAAGGATGAGACACGCCGACCATATCAACGCCAATACGTACGGGGGGTACTATCAAAGTGGCATCTCTACCGTAGATGGTCAGGCTACGTTCTTCGGCCTTGAGAAACAGGGAACGAAACTTCACGAAATGTTCCGTGGCTTCTCGATTCACAGAATCCATGATTACAACCCCGAACTCCCCCAGAATTTACACGCCAAACTAGACCGTTACGCCTCGGAAGCTATAAAGGATCCTGCTTTATATGAAGATTCGTCCGGCCTAGGAGTTACTCAAAAACTTTATGAGAAGAAACGACAGTACAAGGCGAGCCTTCTCCAACGACAACGGCTGTCATTTTTTGATGATTGGACGTCTCCCTACCCAAAGCTACCTTATGAATCTGATTTCCAACAAACTAGGAAGCTCATGCCTGAACGTGATCGCCTAGCATCCACGTTGTTCATGTCCGGCTCATTGCGAGATACCAACGGGTGCCGCATCATACAGGACCTTGTGGCTCTATGCTCATCACAAAACTCTGATACATTCTGTTCTACTCTCAACGAATCCCGAACCGAATGCCTTACCTGTGGTCTGGCCAGAACCAGCAGCAACCACAATTGGTGGTATCACTTGTACAGTTGTCGGAAGAAACAGAGCGCAGCCAATGGGGGGGTCTCTGAGTTTTGTTTCTTATGCTTCCAGTGGCTCGACGACGCTGAGTCCTGGCACAACCACGCTCGTCACCATCTCGAACACGTAGCAACTCTGCCGCTGAAATGTAACCTCACGGTCTTCCGTGGGAATGTTATCCGGCCCGCCCTCTGCCCGAACTGTCTGGGAAACGATATCCTCACGCCCACACAGAGGATGCGTCAGTTTCTTAATGTTACCGAGTGGAAAGACCATGTTCATAGGTGTTACCCTCGGCAAGGGCCATCATTTGAATGCAGACACCCCCGTTGCCGTCAGGTGCCGGCTTTTGACCAAAACAGTCTATTTATTGAGCACCGGTCGGACCTCCACCAGACTCCGTCGCCTAAAAGTGATCAGGCAAAGACACTGGAGTACGCCGATAAGCCAGTCTACCAAGCTAAACGGTCAACCGCCATCGATGGTAGACACCCTATTCGACGCTTGGCGGGTAGGCACGGCAGCAACAATTTCGTGAACTATTCATCTATGTGCATGAAAGAAAAGATTGAGAATCGGCGCACCGGAAAGCCACATAATTCCTCTGGAATCCCAGAACGGACGGTGGAGGTCTCAAGCGCATTATCTCAACGTCACCGTCGTCAGTCGGACCCTGCGGAAGTATCCGACACTGATCAAGCATCGTCCCCTGTTCTCGATGGTATCGAAAAAGGGAAAAGTGACAATGTACAACCACCGGCCTACTCGAAAGCGTCGGTAAACGATGTTCAGGCCCCGGGCAGTAACGAGGACCGAGGCAGCGTCGACTCAACTCCAGGACAGTCAGTAGTCCGTTTGCTTGGACAGGATATATCACTCCTCGAAGCCAAAAGCAGTGATGTACGGCAGGGTAAACGTCTATCTCTGGCAGCGGATGCCGACCAACAAGGCACACGAAAAAAGAGGAAATGCAATATCACGATCGAGATTCCACCTCGACCAACTGATTGGTGGGTCTGGGAAAAGCTTGTTTCTCCAACAGAGAATCGAGGCTCGAAGGCGTCTTCAAGCAGTCGAGATCCACCCCAAAAGCGATGTCCAGGCAGACCGAAGGCGCCAACCAAAATGGACGCCTTGGATGGTTGTGCACTGAAGCGACCACGCGGTAGACCGCCAGGGTCTCGCAATAAGAATAGACGCTTCAACTAGTATAGCTTATATCATCACGGATATCAGGACTCGAGCCACACCCGCAAAACAAGGCATTGTTCATTATATATATCTTACAAGGGGATGGATGATGGTCTAGTAAGCCAAGCTTCCCTTTTGTCGTCTCTACTCATGAAAACGTCTCTTCTACTCCTTCTGTGATATTTTACAATTATCAAGCGTATTAGGAAGTTTGCTGTTACATCTGGTTATAGTAGTACAGTAACTTCTTAGCGAAGATCCTAGTTGCCCGGAGGTATGGTATATAGCGCTTGATATTGGATCATAGTTGCTTACTATATTATCTATGATTTAGAAAATTGTGGTACGTTGTCTCAGATCTACCATAATTACAAGGGATCAGGTAAGCCGTTCTTATCTAAGTGGTATTCTATTCATCAGAAATTTAATCTCGCATAGCCTCTAATAAGTGAACCTAGCACTCAACGAAAGAATGAGTCAATGCCCGTGCACGAACACAGTTCGGACCACCACATGCCGGGCACGTGAGACCGGGACACCAATCCGTTCCCATCTCTGACACGGTTATCCACGTAAAGTCCTCGACATGTTTCGCACACAGTATGCACTCTTGATTAGTCGTAGCTTCCGGTACCTGTTGGCAGCATCTTGGAGGGTAGGTAAGCCAAGCCGTTACTGGTATCGCGTTATCTGCTGTATTGGGAGGGCCTTGGAAACTCCACCGGTCCACTGGTTGATAATTGTAAAGACAGTCGTTGCCCGTCTCAGGTGCAGCAGGGTCCTGGTCAAATATCGCTTGAACATCGTTGATCGTATTCGCAGGTTGTTGTCGCTGCTGGAGTTGATTCCAGATAAGGCGGCCGTCCTCTCCAAGCTGTGTAGAAGCCACCTCTATCGCCGCGACGGTAGGTACTTCGGCCATCTGACCCTTTGTACCGTCTGCTTCTCGTTTCTGCTCTTTATCCTGGCCACTGTCGGAGGGTTCCACTTCAGAATCTGCTTGCCTTGTTTTATGGCACTGCAATTGCTGTGTGGCGGTATCCAATGCCAACTTCACCTGCTTTAACTCTGCCCTAGATGTAGAAAGGAGCTCCCTAGCATGTGCTTTGCTTTCACTGAGTTGTTTCTGTAACGATGAGACTTCGCCTTTTTGCTCGGTAATGGTCCGTTGAGCCTCCGCCAGCTCTTCTTCTGTTGAGCTGTAAGTGGTGGCTTGATCTCTTATTTGTCGATAGACTTCCGTGCATTCCTTCTCCATTTGTTCTTTTGTGGCTTTGGTACACAACAGCTCTTCCATGGTTGATTCGGCGGCACGCTGGGTCTGTACCAGACTCTGATTGGTCGATGATAGTTGCTGCCTGTAATTGTGTAGTTCCTGCTCAGCTGCTTGGTCTCTCTCGTGGAGACATCGCCTCAGGGTTGCAAGCTCGCTAGTCAGACTAGTGACAGTTTGTTCCGTTTCCATGAGATGCCTCCTGACCTCGGTGATCTTGCTTTCTTGCTCACTATGTTCACGTCTGACTCTGCTTAACGCCTCCTCCGTTGAGCCAAGTTTTTGGCAATTCACCTGGAGTTGCTGCAGGTACTCCTTTGGTTGACGCGCAATGCTCTGATAGTGCACTGTTGATTTTCGCTCCCTAGCTCGGTACCACTCCGAGGGTGTACTAGGCTGGATTTCCGAGTGACGGACGCGACGCAGACTCCTCCGCTTCCGTTTCGGTTTGATTCTCAACTCGAGACTGGTTTGAAGGGATATCGTGTACTCGATAAGCTTCTCCTTCGTGGCACTCTGGAGATGGGTTTGCAATTCAGAACGGTCAGCGGGAAGCTCACTGCCCAACTGTTTCGAAAGGACCTTCTTCCAAGAGCGAGCAGAATACTCGTCATCTATGAATGAGGAAATTCTAGCCACGAGCTCTTCCTCATTGTACTCCTCCAACTTTTTCTGCGTTCTGGTAGGTTTCTGTTTGCGATCCATGAGGAAGAGAAGTAAGGAAGGTGGGAGAAAGGAGGAGGGCGGGCGGTATGAGACCTTTAAATATGCTGTTAGTGCTTTGTGATCATGGGTGCATTCTTTTCTTGTCTTAATCCCTGTCCTTGCCCATCGTGCCAATGCCGCTGAGGTGGGTGGGAGCAAGGTTTACCTTGTACACTATGCATCCTAGTCTCTAAGCCCCGTCTCGTCACGTCTTACTTTCCTCTTGTTCTCTCTTGGTGATGAGTTTATTGTGCCTTCTGTGGGTTTTTTTCTGCTCACACACATATCCTGCCTCCAAGGTCACAAAACAGAGCCAGAGGACTACCGTCTCCTCTCTTCTAAACTTATATTGCCTCTTGGCCCGTGTGAGGGCTGGTGGCACTCTTCAAGAGGGCAAGTCGTCGTAGCTCTGCGTTCGAACCACGCTCTTGTTCGGTTAGGACAATAATCCAATGGCAGAAATAGCTCACCAGAAACTAAAATAGTAGAAAGGGAAGCCGTCAAAAGCCGAGTCATCAGCCACGCGGAAGCTGTGATATGCCAGATATCCAAGAGGTACCTGCTTGGGTAATCTCTGCTTATGTGTGTATAGGCTCATGGTGGCCGTATGTTATACTATCCTCTTCCAGTGTTGTTTGGGCACGGATAGCAAGCAATCAGCTGGAAGAGGAGAAAGAATCACAGAGCCATGTTAAAGCGCCATCAAGACATCGGGCCCCAGGAACAGCCCTAATCAAATCACTGTTCACACTATCTACTCATTAGTAACGGGTCTGCTCCACTACTTTCTGCCGAGCAGAAGCATGGATTACGCGGTGGCGAACCTCATTCAGACTAGAAGACCAAGGTAGGTATAAGAGACTGATCATTCGACTTTGGCAGCCAATCCAACTGATAAAGGGGCCTGGGGTGTTCTGATTCGAAAGTGGATCTGGGGCTCCAAGATGATCCAATCGTCTTTGAAATTCACTGTACTAACCGACCTTGACTTATACCGGCAAGCATGTTGGCCGCTACTGAGGCTGCTGAACTTCCAATGAATCTGCCTTGCTTCGTAGACTGATAGACAATCTTATTACTCTGGGGCTAGGTAATATTCTCCCAGTCAATTCCTAGTTTGGCTAGATGTTTCTCAGAGATACCTATACGTCTGAGTATTTCACTGTCCCTCTACCACTTACCACCCGAACTTTTCTTCGACGAAATCCAAATTTACACCTTTATCCAGCATCAGTCTTGAAACGCGCCTGACTTCATCGGCCAGCCCTCCACTGGAACAAACACCTACCCCGATACATCCCAACTGCTCAGCTGCTTCTTGGCTCATCAAGGACTCAACATCAGGCCTGCCTTTTGACATTCGAATGGTCCCGCCGGAGCTTTGTACGCATTCAGTCCAGCGAGCTCGAGTGACATATACAAGAATTTGCAATACTTCGCTTCGACCTTTCATAAGTAGGATCTCTCGTAACCATGGTCGGATCCAGTCAAGGCAGCCAGTGCTAGGAATAACCCATGCCAACTTGATTCTCTTGGTTGCCACCATTTCTAGGGCGTAACCTCGAATGAGTGTCCTTATATGTCCAAGGTGATGAGTGATCCCTACACCTCCAGCAAAGAGGATCACTAGCCCGTAGCTAGACAAATCTCGTGATATACCGTAAGGTCCTTCGATAAGGGCAATGGTTTGAAAAGGCGTAGCCGCCTTTATAGCTCGACGCCAGAGCTTTTTAGTTAGCCCAGATCGTGTCTTAATAATCAGGAACATGACTTTCTCTGTGGAATTCTCGGAGAGGTAGACGGTCTCCTGACCGAAGTATTGCCCTCCAATGCATTGTGAACCGGGTGACAGGGTCGAATCCAAAGTTCCAGACACTCCAGACCATGCGACTGAGAGTGGGTGAGCTGTCCATAAGCCAACGGATGGAAGGGTTAGATACAAAAATTGACCGGGTCTGAAGCTCCAGGGCCGCGGACATTTGATGGAGATCCGTAAGGCATAATGTGGTAGAACTTCGACATCTGCTGTAGTAGCCTTTCTGCCCAAGCTCCGATACAGCAAGGTGAGCAGCCGAAGACCACGAAAGCCTCCCCAAGCTCCGGCCGCTCCTACCACCAAGGCTTCCTGGGGCAAATCCTCGAGATGCCTGTAAAGACATGCCAACACCAAAACTGCCATCGCGATATGCAGATGTAAGAATAATTCGTAGGCCAAATGCCTCGCAGTCTTCAAACTCTGCAGCAAGATGACCGTGGATCCGAGAGCGGCAGTTAAGCCGCTGTAAATAAAAGGCGTGTGTGTGGCGGACCGCATAGCTGCCCAGCCTTCGAATTCCACCTTAACTATCAGCCAGCAGGTGGCATGGGCAAGGGCCTGAAGGATCGCTAAGCGTCCCAGCCAGCGATGAATCATGTTAAATGTAGCGTATGAGATGTTCAGCAATGATATCAAGGGATTCCTTATAGAAGATAGAACCATGATTGGAAGCAGATTCGTCACGCAGAGCGTTCCCGCCCGGTTTGCGGATGCCTTCAACACTTCTGCATTGGATTGGGTCCACGGTAATTTCCACGTGAGGTAAAATCCATTGGCGGCTATGAAGATAAGTATGATTGTGACTTCAATGCGCGTAGGTAGAAATCCTAGAACAATCCACCGACCCAAGGCGATTTCCCGGGCTCTTCGATTGCGAAACATAGAGGCGTAAAGCAGTCTGGCTTTTAGGAAGGAGATGCTGGGAGATCCGGAAGAAAAGGAATGCCGTGCTCCTCCTGCACCATCGATGGACACTAGAAATCGCACATAAACAGTGGCGCTTTGAGTAATCCTATAGGCCAAGAAGACTCCAATTATCCCTAGTATGGTCCAGATATATTAGTGCGACAAAGAATAATTGAGGTCGTCTAGGATCTTTTTATCGGTATCGGCGTCTTCCCCTTTATTGTAGTCAACCGAGACAGCTTGTGCCACTAGAATGAGTTGTAGAGAGAAGGGGAAAGTAAATCTGGTCACACGTGTGGTTGAAAGCATTGTATTTGAATCGTCGTCTCACTTATTGTTCAACGAGCGACGTCGATGTTACTACTTGAGTATATAAGCTAACCCGGTGGCCTTTATACTGGAGATGTTCAGCACACGAAATTTACACTACCTAGACTCTGAGGTACTGTATCATCTTAATAATGTCGTAGGATTTCCTGACGCATCAGCGACAATATAGGATAAGATCGCTAAGATGCAAGCTTCCTACTCCCACGATTTCCATTGTGACTTTACCTTCCTACTTAATTTTTAAGTAGTTCCACCTACTACTGTAGACTCGGAGGGATACAAACCTAGTACTCACGAGCTTTCATACAACGCTTGGACCAATATGCTCTATGGTACTCCAGTATTTCTCGACGCTTGTTCCTATGGTTAACCTTCCAGCCACCTAAGACCTCATAGGGACGTGAGATACTAGAGGTGTGGTATTCTGAGGTGTAAACCATGAAGGATCATGGACATTACGTCACAGACCACTGTATTCTATGATACTGTATTATAGGATTTCACAAGTTCTAGGCCACTCTAATCTATGGGATATTTTAGTTCGTCTACCCACAAACTCCTGGGGGATAGCAGCTCGAACGCAACCACTGGTTGTTTGAGTTTCGGGTTCTAAGCGCCGCATCTATTCTGTGGGTTTTAGTTGTTCTTTTACTGTGGGTCCATAGAGAGGACATCCGCATCTTTTCGTGGGGAGAAACAACAGAAATCCTGGGCGCTCTTATTATCGGTGATCGCCTCATTAAGCCCCGCATCACTTATGGTTTCACCTGTATTGTGACATCAACGGGGAGGACATCCACTTTCCAACTTTTCGAGGGCTTATATAACCAGCGAAAGACCACCGGCAGTTATATCCGTATCTGGCCTGTTTCAGATAGGGGTTTCACATACGATAAAGCCTAGGATAGCGGCAGCTCTACCACCATTTATCGTGGTCGTACGATACTTGTCAGGGTCAGGAAAGGACCCGGAAAATTTGAATCTTCACCTCTTCTCTACAGTACCACAGGCTTGCATATGCTCATCTGCTGGCTGACTAATTGACTCTGACTGCTTGTACGCTCCCTGCATGCTTTCTTTTGTGAGAGCTTCGTATGCTTAAGATTCACTCGAGAGTGAATTCTGCTGCTAGTCAGGTGGTTCAAGGGTGCAAATTTACTACGTCTTGAGCTTCTCTTGACGAGGTACTGACTATATCTATCTCCTGAGTAGAACGTGACTATTTGGGGTGCCACTTGTAAATGTTCATTCTCGATGACCAAATGCGTGATGAATGTCCCGTAAACTTCATTGCTGCGGTGGGTACATAGACTGATGACTGAATAGTCGGCAAACCCCTGCGCCCAACTAGGGTTGTGGCTTCTTGAACCGAGATGCAATCTATATACGATATATATGCCGCTTAATATGGTAGATAGGTGTCAATTCCAGGGTTTATCAATTGGGCATTGTTGTACGTAATAGTACAATTGTCCTTATGTTCCTCCTCACCATGAGCTCCTACTTAGTCTCGAGTCGATCGTCAGAACGCAGAGATCTCTCGACATTTCCTTGAGTTTGTCTGTCGCCGAGAGCTGGAATCGCAGTGGAAGATTCAGATCCGTCGGAACTTTGTTCAGGCCCTATACTTCCAACCGTTTGCACGTTCAAATATTGCGAGTTTAAGGTTTGGAGAAGATCCATTGCGCAATGAAGAGTAGCCAGGGTATCCGAAAGAGTGGTCTCCAGTGAGGTAACGTTGGAAGACAGATAGAGATTTCGAGTGTATTCCTGGTTGAGTCGGACAAAGCACCATTGAAGGTCACACTTGGCTCTGGCAAGCTCTAACATCAATGTGTTGCACCCGCCACAATCAGAATGCTGGATGGTGTTCCTAGCCACTGTTGCTTAATTGAGCTAGACTAAGCTTAGAATATCATTGAATGTGAAAGAGTTCTACCGCTTCCGAATTATGTAGCTGTGCAGAAATATTACTCACCTTAACCTCTAAACTCTGTGGGTAACGACCGTTCACAAGTTTCTATGGCTCTCCTACGGTATCGACTGTTAGGTGAGGAGGCTGTCAGTTATGCCTTAAAAGGGCCCTATGCTCTTTGGAAATCATGCTCCGTGGCTCCATGGATTCTCACAAGGCTGCTCCGAGGCCAGCTAATCAACGTCGTGCTCGATGGCGCGAGAGATGTCGCCGGCTACTGTCTGAACATATTCGTAAGCGTTTATATCCTGCTAAGGCCGCAGTATCAAACACGGACTGAGAAACACAGAAAAGCACTTGGGGATTGAAGTGGCCCCAAGAGAGGTTCGGTTGATTCCTGAGCCAGATTCATTATACGAATGGGATTATTTGCCAGAGCGACAGCATTTGTTCCAGAAGCAGATCAGCAAACACAATATTGCAGCATGCAAAGAGATTGCTGCCGGGATTGGAGAATCCATTTATGCCGTCTCACGGGGCGTGCCACGGTCGACGACTGTAGAGACTCAAGTTACTGGAAATGCTCTCTATCAAAATCTGCAAGAAGCCTCAAAATCGCGCAGTTTTTCATCTATCGTCATGGAGCTCACCGAGCGTACGAGAATTCAGTCTTCTCAATTAACAGAAGCTAGAAAGTTAATCGAGGAAAGGGACGATACTGTCGGATGTCTACGGACGCAGAACGAAGAGGGGGAGAGGCGCATAGTAGAGTTTGAACAACAAATCGCCACAGCCTTAGCAAGATTCAGAGACTTCCAACATTGTGTCAATACCTTTCAGGATGACATAATGAGCGTCCTAAGATGATTATCCAGATGAGCATATAACGCCGTGGTCTTGTGAAAGGTTCGGCGCCTTTGAGATAACCACTGAGGACCGCACATGAGCTCCTACTGACCTTTGTTCACCTAACGCTGTAACACTTGTGAGACTTTCTCTTGCCATACAGTACCATTAAGTCCTGTACTTTTGACGACACGGGATATTCGACACGGGATATGACTGTGGCAATGCGAGGCATATACTCGGTGGCAAGGGTCACAGCCGGCTTTTCTTGCATTATCGTTGGCAGCATTCCGCCTGTGAGAAAGTCAATAGCACCTGAATGTGTAAATATGCGGTGATAGTTCGTGGGACCGGTGACGATAAGAAATGGCAATAGTATGTGAGGTAGTCCTATCAATAACCTATACTAGAGAATTCGAGCGTTAAGATGATGGGCCGTTTTCAAGAGCACTAATTCGTTCATTGTTCGGGCCAAAGGACGGAAAACAATTCAGTACAGGTAGATACTAATTAGCACACCTTGTCCGTGGCGAGCATTTGAGTATATTCGTTTAGTAGCTTAGTAAGGTGAGATGAAGTGTCTACAAAGTTGTGGTCTAGTTAGGTAGGGCAAAAGCCAGACCATAGACCCAAGCCTCTTGTTTCGTGGCATCACCGTCTATACACCGTAGTCTCTACATATAGTAATGCCGCGAGCGAATCTGACCAGTGCAAGGTCGATTAGAGAAAAACCCAAGGGTAGGACACGATTACTTGTTGTACCTGATTGCCATTTGTATTTGACTAATCTCCAAGAACGCCCTTCTCGTCAAGCACCAAAGAGCGTCTGGACTTATCAGGCACTTGATACTCATGTTCATGATACTGCACATCCGGATCCACCTGCTCAGCGATTGCGCGCCTTAGACTGGCTCTGGACCTCGCGTCAACACACACTAAAACCCCAGTCAGATGATATTCGCCAGTGCGGACGACCTTACCTGATACGAGCAGCTTTCCTCGGCCATCTCGACTCCTTTCTTGGTCCAGAACCTGCTCAAAATGGGCCGGCAGAGCAATCAGTTTAATTAGATCATGTTGTCCGGCGGCGATCACATCGCCCGAGAGTAGGTTTATTGGGCGATCACTACCACTCGTAGGTCGGTATTGACTATTCCCGGGGCTGTGGATCCGTATTTCCAACATCTTTACAAGTGAGGTTAGTCCTCACTGACTCTTGGAGAAACACGTACAAAGGATGTGTCGTTCGGCAACAGTTTGTCAAACCATTTCTTGACCCACTTGTCATGATCTGAGTTGCGTGTCAGTACCATGGAAATAATGTCTTCGGCCTAGAAATTTACTGCTGTCTTGAACTTGCCATATAACGACTACACGTCTGGTTCGGATAGAGGCCTCCGAACGACCCTGCATGAGGCTTTTCAAATAGGGGAGGTGTGCTGTGATACCGACATCGGTGGCCAGCATCAATACAGATCCGTAATCCCCAAAGTTTTCAGACCGCCCAAAGGGACGACTAATCCATGTCACGTACTCATCGTCACGGTATGACAATAACCGTCGAGTGAACCCTCTCCTTTTACGGACCAACATGTCTAACTGCATCATCCCACGTTTGGGGTCATTCTCCCACCACACAATCCAAAACGGATGTCGTTGAAATGAGGACAGTATTCCGAGCCTTGGGATGGTAACGAATAGATACTGGCCGGGTTGCACGTCCCATAGACGGCGAAGCTGTATTTCGAGGTGACACGCACCCGTCATGACCACCTGGTCACCGTTTTGCGACCGATAGAATGTCACAATTCTTACTCTGGGTAGCCAGCTTCCTCGACCTAGGTTGATAATGTAACAACCGTCGAGAAGGAGACCAACAAGGAGCCAACTGGCCCAGAAAACAACACCCCCTAGAACGTAAAATCGAGCTTCGAATTGGCGACTGGAGAGATGACGCCATAGAGCGGATACTGCCACCCCCGTTATCAAAATATGCAAGGCTAAAAAACACTCGTAGAAACGACGACGCGTGCCTGGGACCGTTAGTGGAGCCGTGAAGGTGAGTGCTACCGAAGCATAAAATGGAGTTAGTTTCCAGCGTATTCCGTTCCAACAACACAGACTTACAACGGTTCCAGATTTTACTAGCGAATTCCATGGCAATCCCGCAGTCAATGCTCTGGCTATAATGTGGATCGTCGCTTCTACCAGCGTCATACAGCCAATCCATCGATGCATGATTTTCGGCATCCGAAGAGTGATGCCGAGAAAGTCTGCTACATCGCTGAGTTGAATGCCCACCAGAAGTGGGACCAAGTTAATGGTGGCGAGTATTCCGCTTCGCATGGCAACCTCGGCGAGATCGTTCACCCTCATACTCATACATATCGCATTTGCCGTAACATACAACACGACGAAAATGATGTCGAATTCGCTTATTGCCGTCGTCGGAAAAGTACGCCTCAAACTTGCTGCAAGCCATTCGACACAGAAAAAGGCCAGAGGTGAGAGGAGAGCTCGAAGGGCCCAGCGTAGGACTCGAAAAGTCTGCCATGCCAAGGCTATGAAGATTATGCCTAAACCATACCATTGCGAAATAGTAGCGTGAAGTTCCATAAATCGATTGTAGATTGTAGGATCGCTGTAAGGTATAACCGGAAAGATGACCTATAATATATTAGCCGCCGTATTTAAGCAACGTAGAATTAATGACTACGCCCTCGATATATAGTGGGTACCACTCTAAGTCAGTGTGAAAGCATAAGGATATAGTAGCGTCAGTAGCTATATGCTATAATACGTGGAAGTTATTGGCCCAATGAGCCAAGACTTTAGTAACCCAGGAGGATATAGACCTACCACCAGGAGGTACCTACTTCGCTCCTAGGAGCAGTTTTTCTCCTAGATCCGAAAACCAGTTCCTAGGGCCCTTCTAGATTGTCCCAGGACCAACCAGGGGTATTCCCAGGCGTAAATCTCCTCCCAGGTCCCTCCCGGATAGCTAGTGACGCTAGCGGGTTGCACAACCACGTTCTTCTGAAATATCGGTAAAGAACGCCCATTATAACTCCGTCACTCCGTCAAGTAAAGTATTTCTATGCCTGTGCAGTTATTTCCGTGCAAATTCGAACACTAAAACACCGGTTTAAGCCATTGTTGCGGAAGAGCTAGTGATTTTATGTAATGTCAACTATTTCCATTTATCGCTCTCAGTGATACACTATCCCCGCGACTACACAATTGCTGACAATTGACAGAAAGAAATTGAACATGAATATATAGATGTTCGTAGGACCACAAGGTGTCTTCGACTCATTTCTACTCATTTATATCCATCTCAGCACCGGGACCGGAGACCACCAGTCCCATTTTGCTTCTAAATAAGTTGAGGTCAACATTGCGTTCATTGACAGCAAGGAGTGTACGTTCTACAAAATAGGGAAGTGACGATTCTTCAATGTGGTTAACGTTCTCTGTCAGGAGTCGATAGCCTTGGGATTGTAGTTGGCGAGCGCGTAGTCTGCGCTCTTCCAGACTGAGAACCAGTCTTTTGACTTTGTCAGATGCCTCATAGATGGTGAGATAATATGTTTCAAATGCGGTCCGCTCTCTGCCCAAGACTTGACCGGTTCGAGGAGACCGGCTTCGACGATGCCTGGTTGAACTGGACCCCGAACGCATATCAGCCGCGACGGATCGTGGCTCTCTTGAAGCTCCTAAGGAAGTCTGGGACACGGCCGTCCGGTAAGCCCGACTGCAAGAAGCATAGAGCTCAGTGGCCTCGGGAAACAGTCTTTGCAACAATACTCGTCTGACAAAAAAGGCAGTGATATCCTTGGCCGGGTGGATATGCGGCACGAGGAGTCTATTGATGAAGAGGCTGTTCCGATCGAGATCTGTGGTGCAGCCAAAAGGGATCCCACAGCGGCTCTCAATACGGAAGCTAGATACGGTGTCGCCGGCAACAAAATCATCATACCTTTGGCCATCCGCGTTGTTCAGCGACCGTTCGATTGTGGCAAGCTGTCTGATCCTATCCGATTTAAACCCCAAACTTTCAGACGTTTCAGCAATCTGTGCCCAGTAGATGACTGTGTCGATTTTGATCTGGAAGCGGCCGTCTTCCATTTTCTTATCTTTACGAGGCTTTTGAGGTAGGAGATAAGGCCAAAGTCTCATAGAACAAAGCCACAGCTGCTGATATGACCATAGAAATGCGTCTCGGTGGCTCTCCGATGGCGCCCTAACAAACTCTGTCGCCCCCGTCTGGGTGACTATTTGACGGCTGAACTGGTAGATATCATAAAAGCAAGTCCTCAGTGTGCTACCTTTCGGAAGCTCTCTTGCCGAGAGAATGTATTTAAGCACCTCGCTGCATAGCATGATATACTTGAAATCTTCAAAGAACGTGTAGAATGAGGGAACGGTTTTCGGGTATTTTGCTGTCTCCGAGAAAAACTGTGCCTTGGAATCGTGGTCGAGATGGCCGAGAAATTGTTCCTCGTCCATAGACTTTTGCAGATACTGACGATCGCTCTCTGACAAGTAAGGGCACCTGCCTTGCAATGCCTGAACGTCAGTGTCAGTGATTTTGAGCTTCCCAGCTTCGCTGACAGTATTGAAGAATAGGCAGATGTCGTCTATGTATGCAATGACCTCCTACCACGGATTAGAATCCTGTGCCTCACAGCAAAATATGACCCTACCTCATAACACCTTGAAGCCACAATCTTGTGAAACACTCCTATCCGCGTAGGATGCCATAATGGTGGCCAGGAGAGACATTTATTGAACGAAGCGGCTATGGCAACATGCTGGCTCAGAAACTACTTCAAATGCTTTCTCTTGTTTGGTTTGAGATAAGCCCAACATCTGTTTTCGCCTGGGATATCTCGGGTGTAACGACACTGTTGGATGCCGACATATAATGCAGCATCAGAGGGCGGGCCTTCATTGGAGTAAGAGGCCCTGGTGTACCGCAGGAGGCTATCATCCTGCTCTTGCGGGTCAAGATCAGTATG